TTTTTTTCGTAAATATCTCAATAACCCTACAACCGATTTTATTGAAATTTGGCAGTGTTATTCAAGCTCGTAAAGGGCTAGTTCAATCCTAACTATATCAAAACTATCATGTCCAGTGGCGTCCCGGGAGGCACTGTAACCAATATTTTTGACAGAAAAAATGTGCGCCACTGATTTTTTTGCAATTTTTGTATTTGTTTCACATTGAGCAACTGAAATTACAACTTTTTTATATCTAGAATTTTTTTCGTATCTTGCTTTGTTTTTGATAAAAAACATAAAAATCACTTCATTGCACATCCCTGTGACAACACAATAAAACATTTCAACTACTAAACCATCAAAAACTGGGGTCTTACTAATATTTTTTTATATAAATACTCTATTTTAGTCTTGGAATTTTCTATCAAGATTAATGCAATGAAAAAACAAAAAATATGTATGTATGAATTGCAGCACTTGCCTTCGGCTCTTGGCTTCGGCTCGTCACAGGGATGTGCAATGAAGTGATTTTTATGTTTTTTCTCAAAAACAAATACAAAAATTGCAAAAAAATCAGTGGCGCACATTTTTTCTGTCAAAAATATTGGTTACAGTGCCTTCCGGGACGCCACTGGACATGATAATTTTGATATAGTTAGGGTTAAATTAGCCCTTTTTGACCTTGAATAACACTTCCAAATTTCAATAAAATCGGTTGAAGGGTTATTGAGATATTTACGAAAAAAACGATTTCTTTTAAAAATTTTGACACCCTGTATCTTGAAAACGAAGCATTACCGGACCTATGTTTATATGAACTTCTCGTCTTAGAATCACTCAAAGAATCACCTCTTCAAGTTTGGCCACGTACTTAAATAACACCCTGTATAGCGGGTGTTTCAGATTTTATCTGCCAACCGTCATATGAATCAGAATCAGTCGCCATCTTGGAATTTTCAAATCTCCCAATTTTTCTCCAAAATGTAGTATTTATACATCAAATTTTCTTTCAGTTCCTCGTTTCGTAGCTCTCTGATCTGATTACTGAGATGGCTGCCTTCAGTATATTATTATGTAGTTCATAATAAAAAGAAATGCATCACTTGATATGATGTTTGATGTTATCAAAGCCAGTTTTCCTGGCTCTTTACCTAATTAAGAAAAACATTTTCCTCATGTGCCAAACTACGATTGCCCGTTGACCAATTGCTTTGCCATTCATATGTTTGTTTTTTCATAGTAACGCTACCTATTGTTTTCTTTGAGATAAGATGTCTCCTCTATGTTTACCTTCTTCTTATCCAATTTCTACTGATACAGTACCACGAAAGTTGTTCGAGCTCGTTTCCTAGCCAGTTTAGTCGGGGCTTGTTTTGCGAAAAGTCAAATTCTAGAAGCATTTCATGTAACAATTGGATAAATGACGTTAACCCCCTATTTCGACCCCGCTGAATCCGAAAATACCGTTTATCAAGTCGAAATTCCAACCGGAAGTGAGATATTCAAGATGGCGTCCGAAATACCACTAAAATCTAATTATTTTCTACTTTCGGTCAGCTATACGATTGAGGTGTCGATGTCTATGTTTTCGGGGGTGTTAAATACGATGAGACACTCAAAAAATGATTTGGAGCATTGAAAGTTCATCGAATGATCAAATTTTGACGAAATAGACCAAAATTCCAAAAAACTTGTGAAAACGTGTTGCATAATGTATATGCTTGCATACGCTTTCGAGGGTGCTCAATAAGTTTATGAGCCAAAAAAGCATCATTTGAACATTGTCCAAGCAATATAAGAAATGAACTTATATTTTGAGAGAGCCCCTTGCAGCCACGAGTTCCAAATTCGGAAAATGAATTAGGAATAGGTGGCAAAGTCATCAGGATTGGGACATATCGTCTATCAACAATTTACCAGCCGTAATTATTCGGGTCTTATAAACCAGGATACTGATCATGGGCCTTAATCCACACTAGTATCTGAACATAACATTAACATCCTTCGATTTGTTCAATTCTCTTTTACCTGGAAGTAGCACCGGAGAATGTGTTGACGGAGGGCATCAGTGGTTGATGGCGAAAAGCATTCGCACTGTCCAAAAAATTGCAACATGGGCTGCGTCTGCCGTTGTAATGTCCGGTCCAACTCAAAATAAAAATGGAAGTAGTATCGAAACGGCTAATAGTTCTTATTCACCATGTGTCTCAGAAAAGGGACGCAACAAACCTTGTATAAAGCTTGCACCACAAACTGTTCAACCAAACGGAGATCATCGGGGGCTAGATCGGGAGTTTTTACAAGCTGACTGAGGAGTTTACAGTAGTTTTCTTCTATGTACTTGCTTCCACCGTTCTGTTTTTGTGACTGACGCTAACTTAAATGTAGTATCACATCCAGTGATTGCGTGGAAAGCCATCAGGTTTTTTATCTGTTGTGGTGCAAGTTTCTTACATAGTTCGTGAATTGGAATATACTCCATGCGTAAAAACCGAAAGAGAGGCTGTTGTTGTTTCTGTTAAAGACACTAGTGTGATTTCATTATTCATCTATCACTTTGAAAGAATTAAATGCAAGGAATGCTGGGTGATTTGTGGTACTTCCCAAGATAGAAAGTATATTCCAATTCATGAACTATGTAGAAAGCTCACATCACAACAGATCAAAAACCTGATGGATTTCCACGCAATCACCGAATGTGATACTGAATCTTGATGAGGGTCTGCCACAAAAACAGGACGGTGGAAGCAGTACATTGAAGAAAACTACTGTGAACTCCTCAGTCAGCTTGGAAAGACTCCTGATATAGCCCCCGAGGATCTCCGTTTGGTTGAACAGTTTGTGGTGCCAGCTTTATACAAGGTTTGTTGCGTCCTTTTTCTAAGACACATGGTGAATTAGAACTGTTAGCCGTTTTTATACTAATATCATTTTTATTTCAAGTTGGACCGCACATTACAACGGCAGACACATTCTTCGGTGCCACTTCCAGATAAAATTAACAAGAAGAAAAAGAAAATAGAAAAAATCGAGGGATTTTAATTTTAGTCTGTTTTCTTTTTAGGTACTAGTGTGTGGTTTAACGCCCATGATCAGTATCTTGATTCACCAGACCCGATTAATTGCGGCTGGAAAATTCGTGATGGACGGTTAGTCCCAATCTTGATGACTTTGCTACCTATTCCCAAGTCATGTCCCGAATTTGGAGCTTGTGGCTGCATGGGGCTCTGCGGCCACTGCGGCACGAAGCAGTGTGGCTGCAGGGAGCCGAATGGAGCAGAAAAGATGAGGAAGACTACTAATAGTGAACTTTTTTTTTCAAAAGATAAGAAATGAAGGCTTGGACAATGTTCAAATGCTTTTTTGGCTCATAAACGTATCGAGCACCCTCGAAAACGTATGCAAGCATGTACATTATACAACACGTTTCCACAAGTTCTTTGGAATTTTGGCCCATTTCGTCAAAATTCGATCATTCGATGAACTTTCAAAGCTCCAAATCAATTTTTGAGTGTCTCATCGTATCCTACACCCCCGAAAACATAGACATCGACACCTCAGTCGTATAGCTGACCGAAAGTAGAAAATAATTTGATTTTAGGGGTATTCTGGACGCCATCTTGAATATCTCACTTCCGGTTGGAATTTCGACTTGATAAACGGTATTTTCGGATTCAGCGGGGTCAAAATAGGGGGTTAACAGCATTTATCCAATTGTTACATGAAATGCTTCTAGGATTGTAACGGGGGGCTTTTTTTGGAATTTAGCCCCGACACTTCATTTCCTTCCACTCCGGAATGTCCTGGAACCAATAGAAGGGTGACTGTATTTCTGTTGACTACCTCGTTCAGTTTTTCTCATCATTTTCGAACTATTCTGGAGCTGAAAACATATGGAGCTCAGCGCATTATTGGCGTCCTGATTACCGGTCATGATGATGATATCTCGTCTTTCATAGTTTTTTCTGGACTGACCTTCACACATTTTCTTATTGCGTCAAGTTACGACTGGAATATTCTGAGGAGGTTACGACTCACAACTCCAGACTATAGACTGATATTCTATATTCTGCTACTTATGGCATGCCTCACCAGCAATGTTCCCTGCTTGCTAGTTTTCTCTCAAACAGGTCTCTTTACTCCGTCGACCACTACGGTCGACGGAGTTTCATCTGACTCTCTTATCATAAATGCTGGGGTTCCGCAAGGATCAATTATAGCACCAACACTATTTCTATTCCATATCAACGATTTGTTGGAAGCAACTTCATGTCCAGTACACAGATTCGCGGATGATAGTACCCTCCATACCGCCTTCTCTTCCAGGGTTCCAATACCAGCCAGGCAAATCAGAAACGAACGAGGGAGAAATGTTGACAACATGAATATGGACTTGGCAACAATTCTAGAATGGGGATCTAATAACTTATTAGATTTCAATGAAAACAAAACACAAGCATGCCTTTTCTCTAGGAAAGCCGATCTCACTGTGCCCAACATAAGCCTGTCAGGAGTAACCATACCTTTGATGACATCCATTTCGATGCTCGGTATTACTATCAGCAATAACATTTCTTGGAAAAATCACGTGAGATCAATTGCTAAAAGTGCATCCCAAAAACTTGGTTATCTGTTTCGGGCCAGGAGCTATTCCACTTCCAGTCAGCTATTTATGATCTACAAGGCACGAGGTTCTGGAACACATTGCCAAGGGAGGTGTTCCCCGAGACATATAACCAATAGAAATTCAAGAAGACCACCAATTCCCACCTTATTTCCCTTGGTTCTCTCGATGTTCTCTGAACATTACAAGATATCCCTTTTCGTGAACCAGAACATAAAAAATGAACAGTGTAAATAATTGGCGAAAAGTAGCGAAACATTGTTATTACAATGGATCATCCTTTATGGTTATACTGTTATTTTGCATAGAGAGACGTGGAAGCAAATTACAAAAATCAGCTGAATGTCAGAAAAAATTGTGATGAGTGATCGACGGATGTATATTTCTGTTTCAGGTCGCTTCCAACAACAGTGCGACAAAAATATCTCGTCTGGAAGTAGAAATCGACCAGGACCTGGACTTGAAATCATCAAAATCGAAACTGGATTTGACAACGACGAGATCTCATTTCGTCCACGGATTGCTGACAATCAAATGCCGGGCGTCGATATTCTCGATATGGCAGCAAACTGTCGGAACAAACGTGAGAGAAGACAGTCCTCAATTGGCATCTGTGTTGGGATCCACCTCGTCACAAAGTCATACAGATCAAGTCATAGGTGAATGAAATTCCAGCTTAACATGCATTATGTCGTATATTATTATGAATACTATCAGCAATAACCTTTCTTGGGAAAATCACGTGAGATCAATTGCTAAAAGTACATCCCAAGAACTTGGTTTTCTATTTCGGGCCAGGAGCTATCTCACTTCCAGTCAGCTGCTTATGATCTATAAGGCACAGATCCGACCTGTCCTGGAATAGAGTTTCCATATTTGTAGTGCAGCACCCAAACATACCCTGAAAAAAGGGCAATCCATCTCGTGGGTGATGCCTCGCTCACAAACTCACTCACTTCTCTGGAACACCGTAGAAAAGTTGGCGATCTGGCTCTATTGTGTGGATATTTTCAAGGACGAGTCTCTTCTACAATATCAACCATCGTTCACCCCTTGGAAGTCCCCGCGAGATTAACTCATCGAGTTGAGGCTTCGCATCCCCTCGTGGTCACTTTGGAGACCTGCAGAGCATCTCTTTCCTAAGACTCGTTAATCCAACGAACGGCGAAGCTCTCTAACACATTATTGCTAAGGGAGGTGTCGAATCATATAACCTCCAGAAGTTTAAGAAAAACACCGATTTCTACCTTAATTCCCTAGGTTTTTACGATATTATCTGAACATTACAGGATACTTGCGAAATCTTCCGGGGATTCGAACTCAGCATTTTCTTGATTTAGATTGATGATTGTTATGACGTAGGTAAAAACATTATACGAATCAACACTATTGGACCAGTGTCGGCTGAATTATAGGCAAACGATTACCATATGCCACAAAATGGGCCGACGTTTGACCAGTGCAGCTAGGTCATTATTTTCATGTTCTGGTTCCCACGGAAAGAGATATCCTGTAATGTTCAGACAACATCGTGAGAACCAAGAAAAATAAGGTAGGAATTGGTTTTCTTTTTAAATTCCTGGATGTTATATACCTCGGGAAACACCTCCCTCGGCGATGTGTTCCAGAGCCCCGCTGTTTGTTGGATGAACGAGTCTTGGGAAGAGATGTTCTGCAGGTCACCAAAGTGACCACGAAGGGGTGCGAAGCCCCAACTCGACGGGTTAATCTCGCGGGGACTGCCAAGTGAGGAACAATTCTTGATATTTCAGAAGAGCATCTTCCTTGAGAATATTTATAAAATAGAGCCAGATCGCCAACTTTTTCACGGTGTTCCAGAGAAGTGAGTGAGTTTGTGAGCGAGGCATCTTCCACGAGATGAATTGCCCTTTTTTGAAGAGAATCCAACAGTTTCAGGGTATTTTTGGGTGCTGCACTCCAAATATAGGAACAGTATTCCAGGACAGGTCCAATCTGTGCCTTATAGATCATAAGCAGCTGACTGGAGGTGAAATAGCTCCTGGACATAAACAAAAAACCAAGTTTTTGGGATGCACTTCTAGCAATTGATCTCACGTGATTTTCCCAAGAAAGGTCATTGCTGATATCAATACGAAGCCTCGAAATGGATGTCTTCAAAGGTATGGTTAATCCTGACAAGCCATAGCCAGCAATCTACCGATCAAACATGTACTGGTCAGAAAGGTGGCCAGAGATCTGATGTTTGCTGGTATCAATGATCAATGATCATCGATATATAGTTTCCCAATTGAAATTTCGTAAATGCGAAGGAATAAACAACGATTGACAGTAAACATGACGTCCAACCTCACCACTGTCATCTATACTTCGAATTTCCGAAAACCCAAAGCTGCACAAACTTTTTTGTAGCCAACGAAAAAATATCCAATCGTACCCTATCCCACCCATGCATTATTCTTAACTGAAATACTCGTTCTCTTTCCCTCTAGTACTCGTTTTTGTGCCGTTTTAGTGACGTTTTCGATGCTTTGACAAACCCGTGTCGTTTTTGTGACGTTTCTGTTCAGCCCCACCACTTAGCCTGATTAGCCTCGACATCCTACCACTATAGACAAAGAGAATGAAACAAAATGTAATGAAAACGTCACACAAACGTCACAGGAACGTCACAAAAACGTCACAGGAACGTCACAAAAACATCACAAAACCGTCACAGAAACATCATGGGTTTGTCAAAGGATCAAAAAAGTCACAGAACCACCACAAAAACTGCACAAAATCATAACAGAATCGCCAAACTATGTTGAGTAATCCAGTTAAGAATAATGCATAGGTGACTACTTATTCAGTCATACAACGTTTGTTTTTTTCGTTCTAGAAATAATCAGCAGCAACTCATCTAGTCATCAACTACCGACAAAGAATGCTTCGTTCTTCTTCTCTGTGCTAACCATAGTAGTTCTTATGAGGTAGTTCATTGTTCATCCATTGACTGAAACTTAGATTTTATGATGTGTGCCTCATGAGAAATATTTGTTGAAATGTTTAGAGAATCTAGGTGATATACCTGAATAAGATTGTATAGTGAGTGTTCAAAATCCAGTTTCACGTCCTCAGATCTCTCGTATATCTGAGAAAATTTGAAATGAATGAAAATTGTAGATGTTCCATATTATATACAATCTACTGCTCAATCAAAGAATTTCTTCAATGAATTGAATATTCACTCATAAATTATTTTCGTTGGTCTCGAATATTTTGAAACTTGGTAGATTTGTTTTCATTCAATTGAGCAGTAATGTATAGTAATTCGATTTAAAACGTTGATTTTGATATAGGCAAGACTTATGTGTAAATATTGAATATAATAAGAATATTATTTTAACATATTTTAGCTATAAATGTTACAAAAAACATTCCAAATATATGGTTATGTCAAAAGTTGAACAATCGGTGTACCTATCAGAAATCGCTATTCTTATGTTACTTATTGTGATTATGAAATTGTTTGAGAATTCGGTATTCAATTGCACAACGTTCTGGATGAATAACAAATAATGAGGAGATCGAAACTTTATCGAAATATATTCATATGCTCAATGCGAACAATATATTTTCTTATATTCCATCTATCTTTTGATTATATACAGGGTGTACCGTGACTCGACGGCCATAGCTCAAGGGTATATTCCATGAACAATTCCAAGTCTAAAGTACCTCATATAAGTTTGTCCCAAACTCAATTTTTGAGAAATTATGAGCAATGAAATAACAACTTTGCTCACCGGTAGATTGCAACAGGTACCCTCATCCTAGAATGTATATTCATTTTTCAGCAATCAAAAATTGGATGAATCGAAAATTGGGTAAATGAAAAATTGGGTTAATCGAAAATATAGAAGTTTCCATAAACAAAAGTCGTAGAAGGCTTCGTTTGCGATATACAGGTTGAAGTTGAATTTTTTTTATGTCCACCCTTTATGGTTCATTGTGGTGGCATCTAGTCACGAGACACCTTGCATATGGTATCAGACGTTTCAATTTATTGGTAGGTACTGACTCATCACTAATAAGTATTAATATGAAAATTGTGACATATATTATCACGAATTTTTTGTAATTGTCTTCGTCGACTATTGGATTTCAATTGATGACAAAGAGAAAAAACTAGATAATCCAGAATATTTATGAAAAGAATGGCAATAAGAGTTCTCTGAATAAACTGCTTATTGTTTTTGTGAAAATAGGTATGTTCGTTTGTGTTGCTGAACTTGCTAAAGTTGATTTTGTACCGATAGTTGTCTGTGTTCATGACATAATATGAACAGAGGAATTCATAGAAAAAAATCAAGTTTAGCAGGTAGAACAATCACAAACGAACAAGCCTAATACATATATTCGAATTGTAGAAATCATCCATACTCTAAGTGGTTCAATGTATTTTAAAAGAAAAACACAAATTTCAAAGTCATTCGACCACACTTTATTTAAAAGTAAGACCAAAAAACATTGACCGGTTTCTGCACAACGGCCATCATCAGACTGTGCAGTACAATAGTCACCATCAAAAAAGAGATTTTACAAAATCAAAAAACCAAAAAACATCATTAGGCCAGGAAGTCAGGTAAATAAAATGTTTCGTTTTTCTGACTTCTTGGCCTAATGATGTTTTTTGGTTTTTTGATTTTGTAAAATCTCTTTTTTGATGGTGACTATTGTACTGCACAGTCTGATGATGGCCGTTGTGCCGGAATCAGTCACTGTTATTAAATCTTACTTTTATACAAAGTGAGGTCGACTGACTTTGAAATTTGTGTTTTTCTTTCATAATACATATTTGTTTGGAACGAAAATATATGCAGGTCCAGAGGATTCCCGTAGAATATAATCATTGATGGAGGAGAATTATGCCTGTACAGGGTGGCTCATTATTGGTATCTAGTAAACCGCAAGAGATACAGGGTTGGTTCAATTATGTCAGAGTTGCGCAATTTCATTGCTCACAAAATACCATTCGTTTTTTTTTACAAAATTTGATATTTTCTGTATCTCAAAGGTCAATACGAAACTGTCAATTTTTGTGAAAGAAACATTCGGAAATAAAAATGTGTGATAATTCACGACGTTTGTAGTATACAAAGGTGTCAAGAAATAAAATACGAATATCCAGATACACATTTTCAAAAATCATTCAATCAGGCAGGGAACATGGTGAATATATAAATATATCTGACAAAATAAAGAAGGCAGTAATATAAGACTCACGCCCAAGAAGAAATATTTTTTGGCTCAGCTGTTAGGTACCTACCCAATGGAAAACTATAGTAATTTTACAAATTAGTTGATGATGGTTTCTGGGAGATGAAACGCCAACTTACACAGGGTGTTTCATAACTGAATGTCAATATTCGAGGAGGCGGTTTTTGGGCCCACTCTTAGAAGAAAGTTTCATGTAAACGCGTATGACCTAAACGTTCTAACTTTTGGGATACAGGGTGGTAAAATTCTCAAAAACTAATATAGCCTACTACAATGCAAAGTTGTAATTCCAAAATACCAAATACGAATACGAAGTTCATAAACTATGAATTGTATTTCTGAAATTTGAAAATAAAATCTATTTCTCTGCATGTGATATTGTCATATTAACGATATTGCTATATTCATGTAGTGAAAAGCTCTTTATTTTTTAACGAAAAACATACATCAGATTGAGGAAATTGTGGTGATCAAATTTGCTTAGAAATTATTGGGAATTTCAGGAATGATTTCAATTTCGAGATTAATCAGTGGCGTACCATCAATGTCTGCCAAAATAGGTATGTGAAATTCCATACGAACGCCATACTGGTGGCAACAACACAAAAATGTGGTACAAGAACTGATGCATCTTGATACATAGTACATGTACGCCAAAGTTCATCAGAATATCTGATGTGGTATAACAGATATTAATAAAAAACTATTAATTTTTGATAACTTTACCACCCTGTATATAAAAAGTTAGGAAGTTAAGTGATACGTTCATACGAATCTTTCTTCTTAGAATGGGCCTAAGAATCGCCTCCCCAAATTTTGACATTCAATTATGAAACACCTTGTATAGGAAAAAGTGGCCATCATGAATCATCATTCATTTCGATTAGTTTCTACAAATAACTCGAAAATATATGACGTAGTGAATTTCGGTTCTTTTTATACATCTCCGAGAGTATTCGGATTTTCCAAATTTTGTTAAACATAGAATTGCGCAACCTTGCCATAACCTAATCGACCCTGTATCTCATACGGTTAACTAGATTTCAATGATAAGGGTCGAATTTTGGACATCCTGTACTGCTGTACTATATGTTAAAAAGATTAGATTATTCACTTATTGTTCATTATCGAATATTTACCTAGTCTGTACAAAATGTGATAAACTAGAGAAGTAAGATTTTAATTAATTTATTACGTCCACAAAATACGAAATTGGAAATATTTAACATATAGCTTTTTTTATCGATACGATAAATAAATGTTCCTCCATGTGTTGCAAATTATTACCATTATTATTTTATATAAATATATTTGTAGGCTAATTATAAGATTTAGGTGCCAAAGTTTGTAATAAAACTGTTAAAATTAAATCAGTGTTTCATTTTTCAGGTGTTCTAATGTTACATTTATACTGGAACACCCGGTATAGTTGAATCGAAAAAGAAAATTCTTTAAGGTGAACCGGAAATTGAAAATCGTGAAGAAATTTCATTATCGGTTGAAACGGCTTTCATGTCCCTATCTACTGACATTTGATTGGAACAAATACAGGGCGGTTCAAGATTCAGAATTCTGATCACCCCCTGCATCTATTCCAATTGAATGTCGGTAGATACTAAATGAGAATTCAATATAGAGACATCATGTGAGTCGTTTTGATGAATAGTTTCGACACAAAAAAGATCCTAAAGTTGAAAAATCTCGATTTTGAACAGCCTATATATCTGTAATAATTTCCGCTAGACCACAAGTCTGATGCATTGATGAAATCAGCTCTCTGGGGAGAATCAGAGAATGCAATGTAATACAGGGTGTTCCATTTAAAAATGTCAACTAGTTTCCTGTAGATCGTTTGTTTCGAGCACGCTGTAAATAAAAAAAAAATATGAAAAATCATTCCGAATGATTCCTAAAATATTGGAATCGGTTCTGGAGGGGGACGCTTTTATGGTGAATCACCCTGTACGTAACTAGTTAGAAAACGAATTTTGTGTAACTCTATCGTCGCACAAACTGAAAAGTGTATGATAGATAATGAAGGAGATCTGCTAGAGAATACAAAAATCTGAACGTGTTAGGAATGGTTGCTGTTTTAGTTCTGTTTCAAATCATTTGATGTCATTTTTCCATTGGTTTTATTTTAGTTTTTTCTTCGTATGATTTATTGATGAAAAACCAAATTTCTAGTGATTTTATTCGTTATTTGTCTCATTTTATAGACAGATGATCTAATTCTAACTACAATCATGCCTGGTATCATTCAAATATTCATAAGAATTATTATACACGGTGACTTGAAAAATGCAATTATTCAAATACTGTTACGTTGCTGAAAAACACCCCTCATGAGGAATTATTTTGAAAATTGATATTGGAGTATTCTTGACTAGTCCGAATCAATGGCCCTCATCAAATTTTTTGTAAGAAAATGCGTAATCCGTTTTCTTCAACATTGCTGGCATTTTATTTGTGATCATAGTAGGTCAAGAAATTGTGTTTGATAATGTTGGTTTGCTCGATAAAGTATAGGTAGATAATTTTGAGTAGGACCCCAATAGCACGCAACTTCCTAGGCACGTACCTATTTGGAACAAATCAAGTCCGAATGAAAATGATTGTCCTTGCGACGTCCCATCCCGTACATCTCACGCAATGTCCGAGCAAGAACGTCCATGGAATGTCCGAGCTGGAACATCATCTCAAATGTCCTAGAAATAGCATCTCTTAGACGTGCCACGTGGTACATATTGTAAAATTTCCATGCAAGGACGTCCTCAGCATGAAATATTCCAGACGGTACATTTCTTCAAATATATCTGCACGGACGACCCTAATATCTTCAGGATAGCATTACATTTGAAATGTCTCTTAGGGACATCCGTCGGATGTCCCAATTAGTACCTGAACTGTTATGACTTCGGATAGATAATCCATATGTCCATATTCTAAGTAATACGTACAAGAACATTTTTCAGGGAATATGAATTCATGATATGTCATGAGTACAACATCTTATGTACGTCTCAAGGACGTCCTCAGAATGTTCTGGATACGATTCGGAGTGTGCCCTAAGGTACATCCATCGATGGTATACATTGGCATTAGGACTTCAGATTGACATCGACGTTCTATGAAAGTTCCAGGGACGTCCTATGATCGTTCCAGAGAACGTCTTATGGACGTTCCAGAGGATGTTTTGGAGGATGTCCTATGAATGACCTCA